TATAATTCTGTTTATTAATCTTGAGATGATTAGGTGTTAGGATGTAATTGTGCCCGTTAAAAGAGTTTTAATAATGGACCGAATCCAAAAAGGAATTTTATTTCCCAATACAATATTATTGGCTTACTTTTTCTTCTCTCTCGTTGGTGGTGAACTTTTCTCTACGATCAAGACGTGCATCAGTGTGTTAAGCTACGGTTCTTATAGGGATTATTAAAGTGTTAGGGGCATTTCTCTCAAAATCAATTGCTAATTATGCTTTTCGACTAAAGATTTCAGAAACCAAGACCGTTTAGTCTATAGCCACCACCATGGATAGGCCAAGGGTTGATAAGATAGAGAGCTCAAAGGAACAAGAAAACAACAATGAAGTTATCAAAGTAAGATACTCAGATCCGATTCCTCTAGAACTTTTGTTCTTTATTTTCTTAAGATTGCCGGTGAAAACCCTAGCAAGATGTGTTTGTGTATCAAAGCTTTGGGCATCCATAATCCGTAGTCAAAATTTCATCAAATCTTTCCAATCTAAGTCGCGTATCCTCTTCTTTGTAAGGGATTATTACGAAACAGAATTCGAGAATTGGTTCTTCTTGTCAGGCGAAGAAGGAACATCATCTTTTCTTTCTCGTACCACGTGCCACGTCTCTGATTCCAGAGCTAGATGTCGTCAGCCTCAAGTAGTCAACGGCCTGATATGTTGTGGATATGGTAGGAGTCCCGTGATTTATAATCCCACCACAGGAAAATCGCTAACCTTACCAAGAATCTATGTTGGAAAAAACGTTGGACCATACGTGGAAAACTTTCTTGGATTCGATCCGATCAACGAGGAATATAAGGTATTGTCCATGACTCCATTACCTGGTAATCATAGTGGTGAGAGCATAATACCATATAGGGAACATAAAGTCTTTACATTGGGATCTCAAGGTTCATGGAGAATGATTGAGTGTAACACCATTCATTGTCCTGGAACTATAAGCATATGTATCAACGGGGTTGTGTATTACGGTGCTTACGTAGGGGAGAGTATGAAGCAATGTAGCTTAGTGAGGTTTGATGTGAGGACTGAAAAGTTTGGTTTTACTGAAATACCTGAGTCTATCAGAAGTCTAAGTTCTTATTATTCATCAACTCTTATGAACTACCATGGAAAAATAGCATTATCGTATTCAAAAGGTTACGATACAAATGACTATGAATTGTGGATTTTGGAGGATACTCAGAAGAATAAATGGTCGAAGATGTCTTTTTCTATAAGGTCATGGACACAACCTAATATGGAATTCAATGTGGATGGTATTACTCGTATAGGTGAGATTATTCTAACGCCGAGCTGGAAGTATGGGATTGAGTTCTATGTTGTCTATTACAATTTAGTGACAAAACAATTTCGAAAGATTGAGATTGAAGGATTTAAAAGTCCTGGTGGAGTAATTATTTCATGGGAGTACGTCGAAAGTAGTACTATGCTTTTGTAAGAAAGAGAGAGAAAGATTTGATAACATGGAAGCCAATGGTGTGAAGTGTGTATATTTGGTTTGCTTTTTGTGGATGCTGGAATCACAGTGAGTGGTACGATGTATAAATATAAATGTTGTTCGTTGTTAATTTGTTTGCTATATTGAAATCAAATAAACATTTCTTTACAAACCATCGGTTTTTTTTTTTGTTACAAACGCCATAAAATGATAGGTTTGGTGAATATACTCTGAACATTTGTTTACAAATACCGGTTATGTTTTTTCGTTACAATTACAAACGCCATATAACGAAGGAAAATTAGCATGAATAACACAAAAAAAAAAACTAGAGAAATTTCAGAAAATGCCATTTTTTCAAATCTCACTTTACAAAAATATCACACTTTTGAAATCTTTACAAAAATACCACTTTTCAAAATTATTTTTTTTATATTATTTATGTTTGGGTTAATTATGTTCTATTAGGGTTTAGTTTTGAGTGTTTATGGGGTTTTAGTGTCAAAACATGTTTTAGGGTTTAGAATTTTAAGATATATGCTCTATAAATCTATAATTAGTGACATTTTTGTAAATTGACATCTCTAAGTGGTATTCTTGCAAATGTGCACACAAAAAGTGGCATTTTTGTAATTGACCCAAAAAACTATAACTAAAATTCTAACAAATTAACCTAGATCTAAAAGTTTATGTTTTGCAACACATGCTAATTTTCTTTACTTTTTAATTATAATTTTTTTTGGTTAGTTAGCAAATTGCCCCTATAATGAAAGGTTTGGTGAATATATCTCTTTGTTTTTTTTTCTGCATCTCTTGTGTACATATATATATCATATATGTTCTGAAAGGTTTTACGCAGTCAGCCCATATTTTTTTAATGTTCCCACCTGAATGAGTAAAAGAATGTGCCTACTTTATGTTTGTGATCAAAGTCAGCAAAATCTTAACCTTCTGGTCGTTTTGACGTGGTTGTAACTCGCCATGCGTTGTAGTGGCCGTTTCGGTTATGAAATGATTAAATTCAGTCAACGCATATAAAAAAGTCAAAAACTACCCAAAATCC